GGATGTATGAGGTCCATGAGGTAAGGGAGCGGTGCCCTGAGTGACAACGCGAGCCGGAACACAAGAACACCCCTCCTTCATCCCCCCCCGGATCCCTCTTGCCTGGTACAGCTCGCGCTGGCCGCGCAGCGCGCCCAGCACGGCGTTGATGCGCGCTGACAGCTCCGAGCCGGGGCGCGCCGGCTCCAGGCTCAGCTGGCCCGGGTCCTGGCCGGCATCGGCCGCGCTGCCAAACACCTTGGGTGCATGGAGAGGATGTGGTGCTGAGGAAGCCGGCGGCGGCGGCGGCGGCGGCGGCGGGCGGGCCCCCCCTCACGCACTCAGCCGTGAACCGCACATCATCAATCCCCCACCACCCGCTACAACCACCACCGCCCATGCACCTGTTCATAGAAGGCCGGCCCCAGGGCGGCGCCGAGCCAGAGGATGCACAGGCGGCCGTTGTCGATGAGGTAGGCGCCGGCGGGGTCGCAGTAGGCCACGCCCGCGGGCACGGTCGGGGGAAGGGCGATGGAGCCATCGGGTCCCGGCCGCCCCCACCCCGCCTCCGCCCCCGCCACCGCGTAGACGGCGGGGTAGAGCAGGCGCAGGAGCGCGTCCACGGGCCCCGACACGATGGCGTGGCCCACCGCGATGCGCTCGTCGGTGTTGACGTCGCGGCCGCCGCCGCGCAGCGCGGCGGTCTTGGCCAGGCCCATGCAGAGGGCGGGGAGCGTGCGGCCGCGCCGCGGCAGCAGCATGGCGTTGGGCGGGGGCTGGGCGCCCAGCGTGGCCCCGCGCGACACCAGCAGGCGCCACTCCCGCAGCGCCATCAGTGCCTTGTGGTGCAGGCCCAGGCGCACGTCCTCCAGGCGCGAGGCCAGGCTGCGCTCCACGCCTGCCTTCGCCAGCAGGGCGGCCGCCGCGCCGGCGTCCAGCGCGCGGTACAGGTCGGCCAGGTCGCCCACGATGGGCAGCGCGGCGGTGTGCACGCGGATGCGGCGCTCGCCGTTGGACGCGGTGTACAGCAGCGCCGACTGCACGTACGCCGTCTGCCCCGTCAGCACGCTCTCCTCGTGCGCGATCTCCACGCTGAAGGCCTTGTCCGCGTCCACCACCGGCAGCGACAGCAGGTCGGTGGTGCGGATGAAGAAGTGGCCGAAGAAGGAGCTGACGCGCAGGCCCTTGCTGCACCGGATGCGCATCACCGCCTCCCAGCCTGCGAGGCGTTTTGAGGGTGTCGGGGTTTGGGGGTGTCGAGGGGTCCCAGGCGTACATGAGGAGGACTGGGAGGAGGGTGAGGCCTCGTTGGCCCCTGCTCCCCACCCACCCTCCCATCCCTTACTACCGCCGCCGGGCCTGCGACTGCCGCGCCCCCCCAACTCCCCCTCCAACCAACCCACCCCCACCAGCCACTCACCGGTCTCGCGCGACAGGTTGCGCGCCAGCTCGGCGCGCAGCTTGGCGCCGTCCCGCGCCGCCGAGAAGCCCGGGTAGTAGTAGAGCTGCCCGCCCAGGTACTTGGGCATGGCGCCCAGGGAGGGCAAGTCCATGTAGGTGGCCCCCGCGGCAAACACATCCACGCAGACGTGGCAGCGCGAACATTCGGCGGCAAAGCGCTTGTAGAAGGGGTCGTCGGGGACGCGGAGGGAGTACTCGCGGTCGCCGCCGTACAGGGAAGGGTTGTCGCGCGCCTTGACGCGGCCGATGCCGACGCTGGGCGCCGCGGCCTGGAACAGCATCAGCTTGCCCCCCACGTGGCTCATGACCAGGAAGGCGGCCTGCAGCGCGGGGCCGGTGGCGCTGTCCACGCCCGTGGCCCCCGCCCAGGCGGCGGGGAGCGAGTCCAGCAGCGCCTCCACCGCGCCGCGGCACTCCACCAGGTTGCCCAGCAGCTCGTCCGGCAGGGGGACGAACAGCTCCTCCACGTCGGCCACGACGAGCATGGGCGCTGCGGCCGCGCCGGGGCGCAGCGCGTAGTAGTGCACCGTGGCGTCAAAGGTGATGAAGGCCACCTGTGTGCGCGAGTCGCCGTGGAAGGCGTCCAGCGAGGCGCGGATGGTGGCGCAGACGCTGGCCAGCAGGCCGCTGGACACCGCGGCGAAGGAGACGTCCAGCACGAAGACGTAGGCCGGGGGCTGCGGCGCGCGCACCATGTACTCCTGCGGCGCCACGTACTCCACCGCGCCGGCGCGCAGCTCGGGGCGGTCGGCCAGGTCCAGGCGCCGCCCCGCGCCGTCCAGCGCAGAGAAGTACTCCACGGGGGTCTGGTTCACCGTGCCGCACACGTTGCAGGAGAAGGAGCGGCCGCCGTCCAGCCAGGCCATGTGCGGGTTGACGTAGGTGCGGCAGCGCGAGCAGCGGATGATGCCCGCGCCGCCCATGTCCACCACCGGCACGGGGCCGCCCGCCTCACTCAGCGGCGCCAGCACCGCGCCGAAGGGCAGGTGCCAGCGCGCGCGCAGGGACTGCGAGGCGGGCACGGCGGCGGTGGAGAAGCGCAGCG